AATACTCAGTAGGACCGACATAGTGTCACTTCAGTACATTGGACAATCAACATATCTTGCATCTATTTTAACCATGTTGATGAAATCTTCCTTGGTAAAGCCATAGTGCAAGATTCTGAATTATTTAAAAGTCATGACTTGAGTTGTTCACCAACTATTTACTTGACTTAATGTTTCTCCAAATAATTGATCAAAACTGAATTGACACAGAATCTATTGAAAGTTATTCTTTCATTAATAGACTTGATGTGTGTTTCTGACTAAATCTCGCATAATTCAAGAACAAGATATAGCTACAAGCTAGCTATGTTATCGATTGTTAAAATACTGGCATTTTTCCCACTTTCACTCTACATCTCTATTTCCTTTTCCATGCTTATTTTTATACAAGATTGTTAAAGTTTTTAGATCCATATAATCTTAAGTTATTTTAGTTATTTGTTTTGTTCTGAAATTTCTTCAAATTCTGAAAATTATATGGATTTTTTCAGATTATTGGATTTTGACCTTAGCTAATCATTTCTTAAAACTTGGAGTTGTGACTATGAGTTAAAAGTTAAAACATATAGAGCTGCTATATTCTCATAGGCATAAGGAGATAGAACTTCTTGAAGATTTTTTTATCTTTTGATCGAGTAGAAAGGGTTACATGATGATGATAGTATGGTTATGGATCTATATGTGATTCACCAAGAAAATCAAGTTGGAGCTTTGCAGTGGTTAGGAACATTTGAAAAAACTGCAATTTGGTAACCATGTTCTTTTTCTTTTTTCAGAAGTGAATCCTTTTGTGTCAACAAGGAGATGTAATTCGTACCCAATTCTTTAGTTATGTCATATTAATTAAGGGCAAAAATAAGCCAGGATGGTGAAATTATAAGATGATATTGAGTTGGTCAATGATTTATATTGTTAATGCTCAACTACTACCAAACAGAAATAATTGTTATTATAACTTAGCAAGTATCACTCTTGAGTAAGTTTTATCAGCATAATAAAATTCACCAAAATATCGTTTTCTTTGATCTGGAGATGCTGAATACATTTTCTTTTAACTAGTTAATGTTGAAAAAATAGTCATATAATTTTTCCCATGATTTGGAATGGAAAATATCTTTTTATATCTTCTAACCAGGTAGTGTCCTATCAGCTGTGTGCTTTCTATTGGTCCAACTGAGGAATCTGTTAAATCTTTTTTCTCGTCGGTTTTATTTTTCAGGTTTTATTATGTGCTCATGGAGAAGATTTGTTGACATTTAGAAAGATTCTGAGCTATGTTATTGAATTGTCAAAGTACGACTTGAATTATGATGTGCGAGATCGTGCTTGTTTCATATTAAAACTTATGTCTCACAATTTGACCTTGTCATCAGAGGAAGCGATTACCTCATTTGCACTGCAGAATGGAGGGATTCATCATGAGTTTGCGGAAAAGATTTTTAGTGGAGAAATACATTCGGGGATAGCAAAAAGCTTGCGGATTTACCCTCCTGGATCTCTGTCACAGATTGTTTTTCATGCTGCTCCTGGTTATGAACCTCTTCCTCAACCTCGTAGTCTGCATGCTGAAAATATCAATCTCTGTACAGAGTTTGGCTATGAGACCAAGCAACCAGATCTGAAAATGGACAAAAGCAATTCATTTGGAACAGATGACCCTGATATGTCTTCTGGATCCTTATTTGAAGAAAGTGGCTCTGTCTACGATTTTCATCATTATTTCATTAAGTCAGATGGTGAGGACATAACTTCAAGTAATTCAAATGAAATTGAACATTCTTCTTCGGAGAGTATGCGTGATACCCGAGATGACAGAGAAAACACTCTAATTAATATTTCTTATGCTAGTGCTGATTATGATCAAGCAAGTCAAAGTGCCAAGGAAAATTTATCTGCATTCATCTCTACAGATTTGGCAGAGTTGATATCTAAGTCATCATTGGAGTCATGGCTGGATGAGCGACCTGGTTTGACATCCACACAGATGCCTCAACAACCTTCTGGCAGAATATCTATTAACAATCTTAATTGTACTGTTACACCTAAGCTCCACATGCTGCTTGATCCTACAAATGGTAATGGCTTGAGGGCGGACTATGCCTTTTCATATGAAATTTCAACTGTATCACCAGTACTAGTACTAATTGAGGTTTTTTTATAGAACTGCACTTCTGAACCATTAGTAACGATAGCATTGGAAGATGGAGAATCTACATCGGGTGCAGATTCTCCATTCTTCATATCAACTGCTGAGAGAAACTGAAAGGTGCTCTCATGTTCCATGTCACATTATCTGTTTGTTATTTGAATTTTGATTTTAATTTTTGAGTATAGTAAAATTTGCATCGTATGAAATTTATTAATTGGTCATCCCTTATATACTCACGATGTTCTTTTTCTTGTTTCATTTGTAGCCTGCTTCCAACTGATATTGTTCCATGTATACTTTCTATTGAAGAGATTGCCTCTCTAGATCCAAGTCAGAGGGTGAAGAAAGTCATTCAAGTCCGTTTCCATCATCATCTTCTGCCATTTAAGTTGGCTTTGTTATGTAATGGGAAAAAGTATTTGACAAAGCTGTGGCCTGATATTGGGTATTTTCTTAGACCGCTCTCCATGAGCTTGAATGCATTTATAGAGAAGGAACGACAATTACCTAGGATGTTTGAGTATTCAAAGAGGTCAGTGTATTCCTTTGTTCTGATTTTGAAGTTTTTCATTGTTGAATATCCTTAGTGGTAGTCTGATGACTATAATGTGTGAAAGAACTCTTAAATGTAACTCAGATTATGAACAGAGTAAGAACAGTTCTTCATGTTAAGTGGAAAGTGTACAAACTAAAACATGCTTTATTCCTTCTAGTATATCTGGGGTGGTAATAGGACATTTAAAGATGCAAAATATGCTGGTTACTGTTGATCTCATTTTAAGTTTAACGTATTATCATCTAATCACCTCTGACTATGAAAATTCAGTACATAATAAGACAATTATAAATTGACAGCAGTAAACACATTACTTGTATACATATTTCATTTGAAAAGTTATATTTGTTTCAATAGTGTTATAACTTAAATTCATATTTTTACTAAAAATTAAAGCATCTGCAAGCTTCTAATACATTGCCATGATAGTCATTTTATCCTTCTGCCACTAAATAGAATACGAATTTATACTAAAAAAGTTCGATCAATTTAACCTAGACACTTCAGCTAGCTGGTGCCTTGGAAATCAAGAAAAGCTTGGAACTTCTTGATGCTTCATTTCCATATTTTATGACAGTATTACCAGTAAAAAGGACAGAGTGGGGAAAAAAATGAAGCTAATATTCACATCTAAGATGGTCTCTTATTTTATTTACTATTGTACACATAAATTTGTCAAACTATTAAGTCTTGTGTACACTTAAATTATAAGCCCTATTATATGTGTAGATTTGTCCCTACATATAGACAAAATCTGTGCCATATATCCATTTTAGACTGGTTATTATCTGTTCCTTGCTTCGTGTAGTCATAACCTGCCACCATATATATCAACCAGGTCATAACATATTTTATCATCTTAGGCAACAGAAAGAGGAAAAGGTGATTTTTCTTAGGTTTTTATAGAACATGGAGTTTTATATCAATTATCGATACAACAGAAAACTAGGAAGCATGAACAGTTGTTTGCAGTAGTAAACATTTACCATTTGCTGTGCGGAATTAGGATATTGGAGAAACTTCTTTCAAAGGTTTGCACCATTTGCTGTTGAGCAAAGTTTCACCAATTTTGTGAAATTATTTGTAACAGGTGCACCTTCAGGGACCACATGGAGAAGATTGACAGCGAGAAGGATGAAAGTTCACTTCATGCTGATAAAATTATTTTAATATCTCAAACTTTAGAATCTAAGGTTCTCAGCAATTCTAATGTTTGCCTTGTAGGCATGGACATCCCAGTTTCTTACAACATCAATGATGCATCAGGCCTGTGCATATGATTCAGTGGGGAAATATTGAGTAACTCGAGACCATGCCTGATTACTACTTCAGCTGAGGGCAAGTTCTCTGAACCTCTGGGTATCATGGTCAAAATCAACTGTGAAGATACTGTTTTCAGCCTTAACCTGCTGAACAGAGTGGCAGCATTTCTAATTGAAAGCAGAATGCTGATGACTTCCTCCGTTTCTCTCCACCTTTCTGCCTTGTTCAAGGGTCAGGTTGCAGCTCCGTCAAGAGGCGCATGATTCTGTATCCAGATTCCAGTGTATCATATAATCCAAGCGATTGTCATCTGATAGGTGAATGGATGGTTCATCTGTTCAGGCCTATTCGTGAAAGCCAGTGTGGAGATTTAATTGGTAGTGTTGCGAGTATTCAGCAGAAGATTCTAGTGCGAATCGACATTTTGTTTCTTTACCCTACTTTTGCGGCTAAGTCGGACTGCAAATCTCTCACTTCTGCTTGGGTTCATGCAGTCGACCTGAGTGATGGGGATCAGATTGGATGTGTATATTTTCTCTTTACCTTGTTTCCTTCTTGTCAAGCATGTACAAGACTATACCTATCAGAATGCGTCTGTGGCAGATTCTCGTGGAGTGCCGAGAACAAAATAACAATGGAAAATATGTTGAATGAATGGAGGATTCATGTCGAATACACGGAAGAATAGTGGTGTATTAGAATTGTATCAGATGTTTAGATTAATAAATATAGCAATCAATGTTGGTGTTTTCAGATTGAACGTGGAAAAAAGATCCTATGAGATGTTTATAAATAATATATGGCTTTATTAGAACCTTTTATTAGATAAAAGATGTCAGCTGTCCGTCCGATCCATGAGGAGGATAATGGCTAATGAATTATAATACATTTATTTTTTTTACCGGTTAAATTAATTAATGCTTTCGAACTCTCAATCTTTCATTGGTGAATTCGAAATTCGATACGCTACTTGCCATGTGATCAACATTTTATTACATCACGAGATCGTGAACCTTAGATCTCGAATCTATCCCGTCAACTACCTCGCGGGAATTGTCCAACCTTAACCCTCCTTCGATTAGAAGAAGCTTCAACGCCCTCGACCATCTCCGGTGCAACGTGTAATAGAAGCTACTTTGGTGCGGTTCTTCGTGTCCAAGTGTACTCGTTCGAGGTCCGCCTTTCCGACTCCATCGAGGAGGACATCTCCCCCGAGCCCTGAAGCCCCCTCAAAATGGGGAGAATAGCCGTCGCCGCGGTGGTCAGTTTGTGGGTCATTCCAATCTCCGTCTTGGTCGATCGAGTCGTCCCCGATCCCTACATGGTACCTCACCCGTCCGTCTCCTGCTTCTCATCCCGTCTTGTTTTGGTTTTCGGTTACGCACGGTAGTTGTTCGGCGATATTCCTCTTTAACTGTTGTCTCTTCTCCCGTCAGGATGAGATCTTTCACATCCCTCAGGCGCAGCGCTACTGCAGAAGGGACTTCGGGACCTGGGATCCCATGATCACCACTCCTCCCGGCCTGTGAGAACTCCACACGTTTATCCTCTTCCTTTGATCTCTCATGATGACAATAGGGTCTTTAGTTTCTTTTATGAACGATACACATCGAAGTTTCATAAAGCATATATCTTTTGATGCGTTTTAGCTTCTCTTGTGTCTGTTGGAATTAGCAGTGCTTTTGATGCGCAAGTTCTTATTTTAAATAAATGAATCAACTATGTGCTGAAGCTGTGACTTTTTTGTGATTTTTCAGGTACTATATTTCGCTCGTTTACATTGCGTCTTTGTTCCCGAGCATGTGGTTCGCAAAATTTGCCCCAACAATGTCTTCAATCTGTTCCGCTGCAACTCTTCGATCTACTAATGCTTTTGTGGCAGTCATCTGTAGTGTTTTAATTTATGATTTGCTCATCCAGTTAAGACCCACTCTCGGTGAAAAGAAGGCAACAATCTATGCTATTCTACTAGCATCATATCCGCTTCATTGGTTCTTCACATTTCTGTATTATACAGATGTTGCTTCACTAACCGCAGTTCTTGCAATGTACCTGGCTAGTCTAAAAAGGAAGTACTGGCTCAGTGCGATGGTATGGATTCCAATTATCAACATGATTTTTTGGTGTTAAGGTCACCTTTACATCATTCATGTTCTAGTTATTATACTATTCATGATTAATTCATGTATGCAATTCCATTGCATGATAACTGCTGCTTCTCACTATAATTTATTGTTCCATGGCCTCCTGTTCGTGATACGTTGACTGTCTTAATAGCCTTGTTCTTGAACCAAATGGTTCAGTCGATTCCTAGATTCCTCCTTTCTTTCTTGACTGTTAAAGACCAAAGTCTTATATTTGTTTCAAAAATCTAAATTTGTTATAATGGGAACTGAGGATTAAATCATCTCCATTCACACTTAAACGTGTTTATGGATATGAAAAATTAGTCATGATCATACTAGAGCTCATACTGATGTGAAGTTTTCGCTCTTGCTAGCTTAGTAACTTCAACTTGAATAGGGTATTTCTGAGCTGAGTGGTATAGGTGAGCCACCATCTATGGTCCGCTAATTGTAGACTCCCATGTGTGCCTAAATGCATGCTTGTTGAGACATACTCTTGAAACTGTAGGCTTTAAACACATTACAATTTCTATACTAGAAAATAAGTCTCTTACATAATTGAATTGAATCAGAAATAATTAGCAAATTTTGCTTGCTTATAGTTTGCTTATCAATTCAAGAGGATTGATATAAGATTATAGCTTGAGCCATGGCACATAAGGAAAACCACATGTAATATTGAGTTTGCAATGATTCTCACGAGCCATTTTCTTAAAAATAGCATGAGGATAGCAACAGAAAACAGTACCCTGTCATAATAACTTGGAGGACTATTCTTACTGATCTATGACAAGAAAAGAGCTGTCTTAAAACCAGTCCACTTTAAATAAGGAATTAAGGATGCTTGTCTTATCAGTTGTGAATTGATGTCTGTGTAAATGTTTGCTTTGAGATTATATTTTAGTTTTGCTTACGGAGAGGTGCAGAGAAGAACAATTGTGGTGGATTCCTTCTGCATTCATTATTCTCTTACACTCTCATCATGCAGCTTGGTGCTTTGGCAACAATGTTTCGGCAAACAAATATTATATGGATGTTCTTCATTGCTGCTAATAGTGCTGTTTCTTATGCCGAAAACTTATATGGACAAGATTCTGTACTACAAAACAAACATAAAACAATGCTCGAGGACAATGATCTTCTGTCCGACAACAGAAGTACTCCAATTTCTTCAGGGTTGAGAAAGCGAAGGATGCATAATTCCTCCAGCAACAGCCAACAATCTGTGTTCGAAAGAAGTAAATTTTCTCTGCACCATCCTCCAGGTACTGTAGAAACTGTTGTAAATAGAATATATGTTCAACTCGGGTGTCAGCTTTTGTTTTCTGAAAATTCTGTCAAAGATATATCTCAAGCCATAATTAAGTAGCATATGTCCAGAATAGTTTGTTCTACTATATCAACTGGCACATATAATTTCGTCATTCTGAATGTGACATTGAACTATTGGTCATTAGAAAATGGTATGCGTAGCAGTCTAACTCTAAATAGTGCAATAGTGCACATGCTTTTCTGATTTGTAGCAGTTTTAAACTTGCTGTTTTTCTTTCTTGAGATATTGGTCCTTCTTTTAAATTGATAAATGGAAGGTAATTTAATATCTTTAGACAGAAGAAAAGATGAAGTTGTAGAAACATTTGGTTTTTATCCTTCATATTTATTCTTCTTTGTCAAAGGGCTTTCTATCATTTAATAGATTTGTGCAGCAGGTTTTTTTGATGAGATCTTGGATGTCATCTCAAAGTTATGGAATATGAAATGGAAAGTCGCCATTGCATTTGCACCCTTTGTGATGGTGCTGTTGGCATTTGTGACTTTTGTCATCTGGAACGGGAGTATAGTTCTCGGTACTGCACAGTGAACTGGCAAGCTTATTCATCTAGTTATCTGAATGTGGTGTATGATGCTTGAAAAATCTAAATAGCATACCTTGAATTGTGCAGGTGCAAAAGAAGCTCATCCTGTATCTCCACACTTTGCCCAGATGTTATACTTTGGTCTTTGTTGTGCGGCTGCCCTTGGTCCTGTTCATTTTACACAAGCCACATGTCTCTATCAGTCTTTTAGAAAGAACAAGATTTTTTATTCTTTTCAAATACTACTGGCTCTTGTCATAGGCTTTATTGCAGTATTCTTTTTCAGGTAAGGCTTATTTGGTGGTTCTGCTTACAATTTGACTTAGATGCAGCTCTTTAGGGTTTGCATCTCTTTAGCAAATGCTTTCACCTAATAGGTTGATCCATGACATCGGACTACAAGACGAAAGGCTAGATTATTAATAAAAATGAGAAGAACGTCAAAGAATTAGGCACCCGCAAAAAGAAGGAACTAAAATGAGGACTTATGATAATTTTTTTCTCTCATCTTTTTTCTACCACTAGTAGGATATGTGGTCTTGTAGATTCCTATCATCTGAAAGCAAACTGAACATCCTACCCATTAGCAGGAATTAAGTTTACAATCTCATAGAGCTGCATGAAAATAGCTTATAATTTCCTTGTTTGATCCTTTTAGATTTTATTGGTAGCATGTAACCTGAGGCCAAAGCTTCCAGTCATTTGTAAGCGAGTCTGAATTCAACATAGACTTTGATTAATTTGTAGGACTCATTATCAAATTCAATTTTCCGATGCAGCATAGCACATCCATATCTTCTTGCTGACAACCGTCACTACCCCTTCTATCTTTGGCGGAAGGTTATCCAAGTGCACTGGCTGATGAAGTACCTTTTGATCCCACTTTATGTTTATTCATGGTCTTTCATTATCAGCATACTAGGTCAGTGATGCAGCAATCCTGTTGAGAATTTTATGTTGGATCTCTCAAAATTTTAACACGCTTTGACCATTTAACAGGGGAACATCAAAGGAGAATCTGGGTGTTGTCTTATGTTATTGCAACTGCACTAGTTTTGGTCCCTGCACCGCTAATCGAGTTCAGATATTACACAATACCATTCTATTTCTTGATTCTTCATTCTAAGATTGGCGAAACCAGTAATTGGCTGCTCATCGGTAGTCTTTATGCTGTTGTAAACATTTTCACGATGTACTTGTTTTTATTTCGACCGTTTCACTGGGATCATGAGCCTGGCACTCAGAGATTTATATGGTAATTCAGTGATGTATCTACAGAGCTTCAATTCCAGGCATGCTCTGGCCAGGAATGGTCGACTTGCTCAACCATCCTTGTACATTACGATGAAGAGTGCCGTGAATACCTGCAACATATCCATGCTGCACACTGCACCAGGTAATGGAAGAATTCTCATACAAGTTTTTCTTGCATTGCTGTGAATTTGGTGTAACATTTACTGCACTACTGAATGAACAAATGAAGCATCAGTGCCGCCAAACTTGAGCGATTATATATTCATGAGATTCTTATGAAAACAATGTGTTTGTGCGGAACCTGTTTGGTTCTTGGTCTGCCTGTTTCTTTTGTATCACTGAATTTTCACCATGTAACTGATATGCTAACTTAACTTCCCAGTGTCACATGGTTATATCAATGACTTAGAAGATCCAACAGCCAAAGTATGATCTGCTTCATATGGCTATATCGATGGTAATTTCTACGTTCTGCCTATTCTTAATGAGTTCAGAAGCAAAAATGTTCTGCAACATATAACCATGTAATTTTCACAGTGTTTCATTGCATACACAAAATAGTGTTTGATGACACCTCTTTTTGCTTTATTTTTTCGTGTTGCAGTTTTACATTACAGATTAACTCAAAGTCTTCTTCAACTTCTATTGTCTATCCTAAGAGTTTAGTTTGATGAAGCAACTACAATTTAGTCACTAACCATCACAGCAATTATTTGCAAGCAATCCAGAGGATGTCTATTGAGAGAGTGTGGATTTGATGAGATGACTGACCTATCAACTTGTTGAACCTAATCTATCGATTCAAAATATCTAAGCTTAAATTAATAGTAGTACTCTTATAATCTAAATTGAATCTCTAGAGTTAGCATATTATTTGCAAATAATTGATAATTAGAGTAGGAAAGTATTATCTGTAAATGGGATTAGAGTAGATTAGCTTAATTAAAAGAGTATTGATTAATCATCTACAGCTGATTAGTAAGGTCAGATTAAATGTGATGGATAAAGTCAATGCCAGAGCTTCAGATTCCTTCTCAAAGGGTATAAAGCCACACAAAACATATACTTCAGCATGAGTACAAAAAAAAAAAAAGTATCAAACAACAGTAGTAGAAGGCTTGTAATCCAAAGGATACTGTTTGTCCTTATAGGATACGCCATGAAGGTCCTGCACAATAGAAGATAGGGATAAGACTAGCTTTCACATCAAATGATCTGACAGGAATCAAGCAAACAATGTCGAGATTGTGCAGTACAACAATCTCATATCATTTTATAGTCAATTATAGTCTCATGTTCTTAACATCAGAATTCAGAACCTCTTCAGCTTTACCTGCATATCTTTGTTACAGAAATGATGAACCAAGTCACATGATTGTTCTATCTTCCTTTCTTCTATGGAGTTGAAAGTTAGGAACCATCAGACCTCAAAAATGTCACCGGAAAATGAACGAAGATATATCAACATTTCACTCATGTTTCTCAGGCTGCAAACACACAGGCTTTTACCTAATTTCCTCAGGCTGCAAACAGGTTCATGAAAGCTCTGGCCAATGACACAGTGCCCTCAGGTACCTCATTCCGTGATCAGACTCCATCGGTTGCTTGAACGGGGGAGGAAGATAGCATATGCATGCCACAGGCGTGCATGGCAGCAGTAGCACACACGCACAGCATCATGGACCTTCGGCTCAAGTGTCTGCATCATGACAGACCTTTCAGGTCACCTTCTCCATGCCCAGTCCCTGTAAAGATCACCAAGCATGTCCTATCTCCAACCGGATTGATGTTAACGGCCACCATTTCTTCTGCCTTGTGATGGCCACATTTGCTTGTGGGGGACACTGGAGATGATGCTTGTTTGATTGATGATAAGCATTATAGACCAAACAAGGTAAGAGTCCTTCTCAAAGTTCAGAGAGAGGTCACTCATCGTTCATACTCACCATGGATTTTAATCATGTTATAATTAGAGTACGTGGAAAGTTAGCCCCATACTTTTTGACTCCTATATGAGAACTTGATTCATATCTAAGATAGGGATGAACTGAAGACAAAATTTATCAGGCCAAAATGTGTACATGGATTGAGAAACCAAGCAAATTCACACCACAGTCCATGTGAATTTAAGTGAGAAATGAAATCTGATGGGGGATTTCTCCTACAATCCATAACCTGTTGGCACATCATATGTCATCAATCACAGATTGATCAAACAACAAATTTAGGGTTATGGAACTCCTGTATCTGAATCAAATAATCACAGATGAACCAAGTCAACTACAAAATCTATCAAGTTTCTTAGCAAACAAAATGGTCTATCAGAAATATTTATGAAAACATCCAAACTCCCATCTGATTTAGAATCATCAAATGATGAGTATATATGTAACAACAATAAAGATTTATTATGCTTTTTCCACCAAAAGTAGATTCTTTTTAAAGCAGAATTAAACAAGTCATTGAATGAGACTACAAGTGATTGTCTTCTACATGTGGGATTACAAACCTCTATTGACCAGACTGATCAAATAATTAAGATTGGTGGTGTGAGATGCAGTAGTCAATCTAAAGCCCACACTCACACCTTACCATTGTGATTCCCATTACCAAATCATCAGTGAGAATAAATCTACTGCAAATTATGTAATGGATCTGAACAAGCTTCAGGGAGATAATATCTGCATGCACTTGTGTGACCACTCAATTGTCACATCCAAGGAAGACATATGTGATGTGAAGAGGAACATATGTGCTCATCCATCTCTCATGAATAGATCTTACAAGATTGACAAGTTTACTGAGAATAACATGCACAAATACAAGCAAAGAAGTTGCATAAAAAGAGATTTAAAAGTTACAAAGTGCTTCTCTATATAACACTGTGCTACCTTTTCTTTTTTACCTGTGTTCTAATATATTTTCCTTTGTGCATGACACACATGATGTGATATATCTGAGCCCTTTTAAAAGAATGGTACTAGGCCATCTTTAATGGTTCATGGAAACCATGAAGGTGATGGCCTATCCCTCATTTTGATAAGCAATCACATTGGTCCTATAGTGACCTTACACATAAAGCTAATTTGTTCCTTTTATTTTTCTTTTCCTGATGAAAGCTAATTCAGATACCTGCATTTAAATCTTGACAAAAGGACTCATATATTCATGTACAGTTCAAGATCTTTTCTTGTGAAAGATCTCCATTCTGTCAGATGGAACATTAGTATGTGTGTGTGTGTGTGTGTGTGTGTGTGTGTGTGTGTGTGTGTTAGAATTAGGAGAGGGAGATAGAAAGAAGGATTGGAATAGAGTATAGAAGGTTGGAGATATATGTGAGGAGATGCGAATGACAGGAGCATGAGATAGGTCTTGAGATTTAGAAAGAGAATTTGAAGTTGATTCATAGAGCTTATATTAGGTTTTCGGGATCTGCTGGTGCTACAAAATGTATAATTTAGAATCTGATCCTCCATATTAGACATTGCAATCAGCACTACACATTACCCCCCCCATGCAACCCGGCATGCATGAGCTGGAAGAAGAACACGTAATACCAGAGACATGATCAAAGCAAGCTCAGTAAAAGATCTCTCCCTCTCTCTTTCTCTCTCTCTCTCTCTCTCTCTCTCTCTCTCCTTGTAAAAGACATATTTTCCTGAGGAGGATGGATGGCCAACTCATAAAGCTAAAGCTGCCTCCTTCACTGCTCCCCTAACAAAAGAACAGGTCCCCCTCTCTCTACATGCCATCAGCAGGCCTCCACCGACACCAACACTACCTCCTCTTCCATGTGCAGCTATCTGGCACACCATGCTACCCTAACCATACACCACAATTAACGTGGAATTCCGAGCCCAATCCATGGAGCATACTCACCCTCCTCTCTGCTTTTCTCACTCAGGTTTCCACTACTCACCTATACCTATCGAGAGAGAGAGAGAGAGAGATTGCCTCGGTTCTTGGAAGAACGTACAGAATTCCAAGAACCGACTCATGTTTATCTGGTTTCTTCAGATCTTTTCCTTTTCATTTCTTGGTGATCCTGCGTGTGCTTCCACAACTGGCCTCGGTCTTAGGTTGCTGCTGTGGAATTCTCGGGTGGTGAGATGCGCACACATCTTTTGCTTTTGCCTGCATCGTACAGTCCTACATGCGTGGATGTGTCTGAGCTAAGTGATGGTTTGGGATCACTGAGACAACAAAGAGACGATGCGTAAGCAGTCGAGCTCAGCAGCAAACTGCAAGACTGTGACTTGCGCACAAAGAGGACCGACTCATGCTTTTGATGAACAATTGGTCATCCTTGAGATCAAACACCCATAAGAATGTCTTTGCGACCGATCACATTATGTTTATAATCATGAACTTTATTGTCAGAAAAAACAAAAAAAATGGATTTAGAAGAATGGAAAATAATCAGAATTTTAGATCGTATTTAATTAAGAGCTAAAATAGAAGGAAAACTAATATATATACATATATACATATATATACATTCATACATACATACATACATACACACAGGGAGTGCATGTGAGGAGGATACATGAATCATGCATGAAATGACGGTCAAAGTGATGGTTCTGCGCAGCATCTATCAAAAGATGAGAAGTCATCCATGATAGCTTTAATCTGCAAGCAATCATACCTGCATTGCAGAAAAGGCTGAAAGCTTGTCCCACTAGGCTGATTAGTTAAAGCAATCTATCGTCTGTGAGTACGCTCTTGGATGCCAATTCTATTGGAGATTCATGTCCTATATATACGCTCATCTCCAAGACAAGATTTAACCGCAGCAGTTCTAAGTGATGAAGCAAATCAATTCGCTTCAGATTATGATATCATCTCTGTCACATCCTTGTGTGATTCCATTTAACTATGTTGATGTTATGTGTCAAGATTATTAGATGAAATGCAGGCCACCACAGCTTGCTAGGTTAGGAGTTCAGCTAGTGATTCATGGCGGCAACTCAAGTGAGGTCAATGATGAGCTGCTCCATGCATGCATGAACTCAAAACACCAAACAAGATACCAAGATCCAAATCATACAACGAAAACTACAATCCTACTTACTGATCCTGAGCAGTGCATCTACAGATGTCCACCATATACTAGGAAAGAAGTTTGTGTCACTGAATCCTCCATTGATCTTTCATGCTTCGATCAGGTTGGACATAGGAGTAGGATTCTGGTACATAAGATTAACATGAGAATTCATGTTTCCTCCTCCAATCGAGTAGATCAGTTTTTTGGAGTCATTTCTAGTTGTATCAGATCAACAGAAGCTGTAGAATTACAGGAAATTGTCAGTTGATGAAGGGTTAATGAAACTTGGGAAGCCTGCTGCCCATCCACCACCATCTCTGCCACCCCAGATGAGATCAGTTCTGGGGTCATCAAGAGACTGTCTTGGAAGATTAAGCTCTTGTGAGTTGGCGTCCATCTTCACTGAAGCCAGTTGCATCAGGAGCCCGGAGCTGGGTTGAGCTTGCTCTGCAAACGATTGCCCGTCAAACTGACTGCCTTCTCCGAAGAACGACGGGTATAAGTTTGGAAGTGGTGCCAATGGCGGCATCTGTGGTGGTGGCGGATCTAACCCACCTAGGATTAAAGGAAGCTGCTGGATTTGCCAAGAGAGTCTGAGGTCCTCTACTGCATCGATGCTGGTTCCACTCGCCTGGTAACTCAACGCTAGGTTAGGAGTCCTGAAGTCCGGAACTGGGTGCAACGAGGTCACTAGGGGCGGCGGCGGCTGCAGGGCGAGGCTGGTCATCGTTGCACCACCGCCCTGGCGAGTGGCCGAAGCAACCGAGGGTTTTGAAGAGGCACTGCCGGTGGACTTGGTCCGCCGGTTCCTGCGGCAGCCGCCGCCCACAGGGACGTTGCGGAGCGCGCCGCCGCGTGTCCAGTAACGCCGGCATGCCTTGCAGAAGTGGCGGGGCTGCGACAAGGAGTAGTTGTTGAAGTAGCAGAACTTGGTGTTGGTGGAGTCGCACCGGGGGCACTTGAGCGCCTGTTCCGGCTGCGCCACCTTCGCCAGACGAGCTCGTTCGGCCGTCAACTCTGGCCTGATCGAGCAGACCATCCCCGCCTCAGCTGGTGGCACTCCCACCAAGCCAGGTGGTGGTGCTGGGAGGTGGGGATCCTCATCTCCGCCGCCATGGCTACTGCTGCCCCGCTGATGAGGCTGTTGCTATATATGATGAACAAACAAACAGGGAGGAGACACAAAGGAAGAACTCAGTGTTTGTGGTACACTCGGAGGCCATATGGAAAGGGTGAGAATATTACTCGTCGTCAGCAAAGAGGGAAGCAAAAAAGAAGAAAGGGAAGGATGGATAGGGCTCACCTGGTTCCAGTTTGGTGGATCTACATAGACCGGAAGAGATGGGAAAACCATGGCCGGGTGGGTGGTGCTCCTTTTAGTGTCTGCTTCTCTTTTGGCGAAAGGTTGATGGGGCTAAGAGATGGATGGTGGTGGATCACATCCACGAGGGTGTGCAGAAAGAAGAAAGCAGCAGTGCGAAGGAACCACAAGGAGAATTTAGAGGAAGATGATGATGCATTCCTCTCTTCTTCTGTGCAAGATTGAACTGGTTGTTGGGGAAGAGAGAGAGAGAAAGAGAGAGAGAGAGAGAGAGAGAGAGAGAGAGAGACTTAGCCTTTACGCTTCTGGCTAACGATTAGTGGTGTGAGGAGCAGTGGGGAAGAGGAGTGTCAGCTCATGCATATGAAAGGTGAGCGAGAAAGCAATGTGAGGGCTCCAGGAAGGCCATCGAAGCCCTAATACCTAAGCTTTTATGTATATATATATATATATATATATATATATATATATATATATATATATATATATATATGTATGTGTATATATATATATATATATGTATATATGTATGTGTATATATATATATATATATGTATATATGTATGTGTATATATATATATATATGTATATATGTATGTATACATATATACATATATATATGTATGTATATATATATATATATATGTATATATGTATGTATACATATATACATATATATATGTATATATATATATGTATATATATATATATATGAAAAGTCATAGATAATCTTAGTTAAAAAAAATTCGTTGATAAGTCGTAAAAAGTGTTATGTTGAAAAAGTTGTAGATATTCCTATAAAAAGTCTTATGTTTGAAAAGATGTAGATAATCCTAATTTAAAAAATTCTCGGATAACATTTTTTTTTCGATATGATCATCCTATACCTGTCGAACATCATCATATTAATCGCCTCGTCAACTATCCTCTCATGATTGTTTGTGCCTTTGCACATAGGTTGACCTTGTTAACTATCCCCTATCTTTCTTTCACTGCTTGCAGCTCTACATGTGGGTTGACTTTATTGGCCACCCTCCTTCGTATGTCAATTAGTTTTCATGGTTGCACCTACATCTCCATGCGTGGGCTAACCTTGTCGATTGCTCTCCTTCGCACACGAAGCCCCAAGGATTCAACAAGGGCAACTAGAGTTAAAAATGGGCACCCACTCTAATGCTCGTAACACCCTAAGTTCAAAGAGGTAATAGAGATGATGATGAACAGGTAAAATTATGTAAGACGAGAAAGCAATGATGTAAGACGAGAGGTGACTAAGGCAAAGGTAAAATTATATTTTCACGTTGCCAAAGGGTACTCAACGAAAAATTTCTAAACTTAAAAGCTTTTTCTAAAAATTCACTATATATATATATATAGAAAGAAAATAAGAAAAGAAAATATGGATATTATTTTAGGAGACAAATGGGAGAGAACGAGGGAAGTTGAAAATTATGCACGATATATGAATATTTATTGTTGATTCTTTGCTCCTATTTATGATTCCTTTCTTTTCCGAATTCCCTGTTATAACTTATGGAGAATTGTTAATCTAATAAGGCTAAATATTACAGCTTTCTGTGTTGATATCAAGCACATACTTAAGCCAGAGAGACTAATTATAGAAAGCAATTTATGACGCACAACAAACCATAAATTCTCAAATATTTAAAGCCGTGCATTTGAATATTTTCTCCTCATTAGATTCTAAATAACAATAATAAGTGTCAAGCTAGGGCTAATCAAACTGTTTTTATTGTTTATAATAACACTTTCTGAAATATACTGTCTTAAAAGAATTTTTCTAATTGTTTGCAACTATGAAAATCCATAGTTTAACTAATATTTTGACCAATTGAATTTATGTGATCTGACAACAATTCTACAAGTTTTCTATCTTCAATCTTTTGGGTACACAATTACACACACATACATACATACATATATATATACATACATACATACATACATACATACATACATATATATATATATATACATACATATACATATATATATATACATATACATATATATACATACATATATATATATACATGTATATATATATTCTAAATTATTTTTCAAAAGATATTCGTAATTTGCAGCTGGTTTTAGCTTATTGTAACGAAGCAAATAAGAACAATATTATGACAAACGAACCTTTAACAATAACAACGATAAATTTAAAAGTTCATGGTCATCCATATACATTTTGGCAAATAATTAATTGCTTGCCAAATAATTACTTGTGGAACAAATAATTCTTGGTGCTTAGAAGTTGAAACTGTTAAGAATTCCAGATTTGATCCCTGTACATGTTGAAGTCATATTCTAAAATTAGCAAATCCCTTTTGCTTTTTTTTTTTTGACTTGGTGTTGCAAAACATCATAGACCAAAGAGAGAGACATCAATTGCCATTCCTGCGTCAGATTGCCAAGTGCAGTGAAGAACAGGTAAAGAGAGACTGTGGTAAGGAGGATGCTTCCTTCGAAGCTGCTTGGACAGGTCCGCCCGAGAGAGAGAGAGAGAGAGAGAGAGAAGAAGAAGAAGCAAAGGGCATTTTGAGTTCCTTGGAGGTTCGAATTAGACACTCGTCAAATAATTCATGTAAAAAGGAGCGAAGAAGACATGCTGTCGACTTGGACCTGATAAAACCTATCCTGGTAAAACCTGTGGGGTCGAAAGGTCGCGATCATGACAAACAAGCAACTGTAACCCAGACTTGTTGGTAAAGCATGACTAGTTCAACCTGCATCAATCAAGAACTTGGAAAGCATTTTCCTTGAAAAACAATAAACCAACGTCAAAAAGAAAACGAATCAGCTCCATAAGGGAGTACTTAAAAATTGAAATTAGATGCGATTTCGAATAGCAAACATAGTTCAGGATAAACCAACAACATTGTACTGAATTCGATAAGCTTAGGAAACTAAATTAGGTAAACGAAACACTTGCATGAAAGCCTATATAATATAAGGCCGACTAGAGACGAGATAACTTAATCGACCTCCTCGATCTTTGGACCAGCACCGCTGCCACCAGCAGGAGGAGCATCATCATCCATACCACCAGCCATGTCAGCACCTGCTCCCTGGTACATCTTGGCGATGATGGGATTGCATATGCTTTCCAGCTCCTTCATCTTGTCATCGAACTCGTCGGCTTCTGCCAACTGGTTGCCATCGAGCCATTGGATGGCCTGCTCGATCGCATCCTCAATCTTCTTCTTGTCAGCAGCAGCAAGCTTGGAGGCAATCTTGTCGTCGTTAATGGTGTTCCTCATGTTGTAAGCATAATTTTCCAGAGCATTCTTCGATTCCACCTTCTTTTTATGCTCCTCGTCTTCTGACTTGTACTTCTCCGCTTCCTGCACCATCTTCTCAATCTCCTCCTTGCTGAGCCTACCCTTGTCGTTGGTGATGGTGATCTTGTTCTTCTGTCCAGTGGTCTTGTCCTCAGCAGAGACATTCAAGATACCATTGGCGTCAATGTCGAAGCAAACCGTGATCTGAGGAACCCCCCTAGGCGCAGGTGGAATCCCAGAGAGCTCAAATTTTCCAAGCAGATTGTTGTCTCTGGTCCGGGTCCTCTCTCCCTCATAAACCTGGATCAAGACACCCGGTTGGTTGTCTGAATAGGTAGAGAACACCTGTTCCTTCTTCGTGGGAATGGTAGTGTTCCTGGGAATTAAGACGGTCATAACTCCTCCAGCAGTCTCCAGACCAAGAGAAAGAGGAGTGACATCCAACAGAAGCAGGTCTTGCACCTTCTCGTTACCCTCACCGCTAAGAATAGCAGCCTGAACAGCAGCACCGTAGGCAACTGCCTCATCAGGATTGATGCTTTTGCAAAGCTCCTTCCCGTTGAAGAAGTCCTGCAACAACTGCTGAACCTTTGGTATTCTGGTAGATCCACCAACAAGAACCACATCATGGACAGTGCTCTTGTCCATCTTGGCATCCCTCAGACACTTCTCCACAGGCTCCATACACTTCCTAAACAGGTCCATGTTTAGCTCCTCAAACCTGGCTCTGGTAATGGTGGAGTAGAAATCAATTCCCTCGTACAAGGAATCAATCTCGATCGTGGTTTGTGCTGTGGAGGAGAGAGTCCTCTTTGCCCTCTCACATGCTGTCCTCAACCTCCTAAGAGCCCTAGGGTTCCCACTGATATCCTTCTTGTTCTTTCTCTTGAACTCTTGGACAAAATGGTTGACCATGCGGTTGTCAAAGTCCTCACCACCAAGATGGGTATCACCAGCAGTGGCCTTGACCTCAAAGATACCCTCCTCGATGGTAAGAAGGGAGACATCAAAAGTGCCACCACCGAGATCGAAGATGAGGACATTCTTCTCACCAACACTAGTAGCCTTCTTGTCAAGGCCATAAGCAATAGCAGCTGCTGTGGGCTCATTGATGATTCTCATTACATTGAGACCAGCAATGACACCAGCATCCTTTGTGGCCTGGCGCTGCGAGTCATTGAAGTAAGCAGGAACAGTGACGACGGCATTCTTGACAACAGACCCCAGGTAGGCTTCAGCAATTTCTTTCATCTTTATCAAAACCATCGAAGAAATCTCTTCAGCTGCAAACTGTTTATCCTCCCCTTTGTATTGGACAACAATCATGGGCTTGTCACCTGGACCAGGAATGACCTTGAAAGGCCAGAGCTTGATGTCACTCTGGACAGATGAATCACTGAATCGCCTACCAATTAAACGCTTTGCATCTGAAAGAGGAAAAAAGACATGAGACAAAAAGATCAAAACCTTGGAATTCAAACAAAATGCAAACAAAACAAAAAAACTAACAGATATGAGCATCTAGAGAAACAAAATGGAAAACCATTTACTGGGATTAATCGAGTAATGAAACATTCGACAATTAGTGACTTATAGCAAGAACCAGTGCTTTCACCCTCATAGACACACGAAGAAACCAATCAATCTCAATATAATTATAATTTGGAAATGATTGACTATAAGAGGAAGAAAACGAAAGGCCCAAGTGATTAAAGTTTTTGTTTTTTATTAAACCAGTATTGGCAAAATAATGAAAGTACACCAGACAAGAGTGACATGTATTGCAACCTCACATGCAGCAACTCACATTAGAATACCTTCATCCTTCTATTCTACTAAAGTGGGACTGTTACCAAACTTTTAACATGCAAAAAAAAAAGAAAAGAAAAGTCAGATCTAGGACACCCACAATACAATTTTTGTACTGCCAGATATGCTTGAAACACAAAAATATATTTCAAAAGCTAAAAACGAGATGAGGCAAGCTTTAATGACAAATTTAGATACCCATGAGCAGTTACTCGCAAGAGTAACTAGTGCCTAAATTCG